AGACTAAAAAGTTCAAAGATGAGACAAAACATATTTGGGAAAATCTGGAGATGGAATTGGCCGCAGGTGTGGCGGGATATGTGGTTCTAACGATGCATTCAAGCCTCTGCCTTTCTCCGTGTTCCAGCTCTTCCTTTCTCTTTATTGACTCCATTCTAAGTCCGACTCTCTCCACGGCTACTGGCAGCTATTGGCTTATATTATTCTTCACAGCAAGTTATGCCAGAGAAAAGAGCATGCCCCCGTCACATCACTAGTGTGCACTCAGTTCTTCAAAAGGTCTCTGAGTTGAATAGGTGGGGCCCTGGGATTGACAATCCCACTAAGTGAAGAGTGGGGTGAGGGTGGGCAGTTCTCAAGTGGAAAAAATCCTGGGCAGACAGAATAAATTACAGATCTCTACTAAAATAGGAACCATTTTGCCAAATGGAAAAGAAAAACTTGGCAGGATTTACAACTAAAACTTTGCAAGTTTGACCTTGGACACGTTTCTTAACCTCTGTCTAAGCCTCAATTTTTCCATCTCTATGAATTGGGTATAATAATATCTGCCTCATGGCATTATGTGGCCACCAGGTGGGCAGGAAGAGGTCACACACATTCCTTAAGATTGGACTGCAAGTTCCCAGTTTATTTACCGAGGTATAACTGGACCCAGAGAAAGCAAGATGGCCATGCAGACCAGCGCCAGACGTAACCTTAGCAGTTTCCCTTGACCTGCCAAAGTGATGCCCGAGGCATGCAGCCACAGGTGACACTGTCTGCCCAGTGTAAAGCCTTGCTAGGTCTAAGAAGCTTCATTTCTCGCCTTCCTTTTACACTTCGGGTATACATCAGTTTTCAAAAAGATTTTACACACTCTGTGTGCTTCCATTCAAGAGATTGTTTATAAATATCAAGTACTTGCTCTTGAACCAAATTCAGCATCAGTGAGGCCACATCCTCACCCAGAGAAAAATGCATAATTAATCCTGGGTGTGTCCAACTGGTATACGAGTGTGTCTGCTCCTTCTGTCTTCCCATAGATCCATTTCCTCACATCATCTCAGAGTTATGTTTTAATTGTATGTCATTGCCAGGCATTAAAATTAAGAACTGAGTGAATGGTAGATGCTATAGTAATTATCATTA